AAAAAATGTCAGAATAGGGAACAACGAGTATTTGGGAAAATTGTCGTCGCGCTGCGTGTCGCACTACCTTGGCCGAAACAAGCCTCAAAGACGGTCGACGCTGTTCGTATAGTTCTTATCGCTATCAGTATATCAAGTACGAAGGCACAAGTGTCGGGAAAAGTGTTTTGTCGCGAGTGTATCTAGCACGGGAATCCAACCATCGGATGGAGTGGCTCCTCGACGTCCGTGACACGTCTCTCTATAAAAACGATACGCCCCCTTTCACCTTTCTTAAAAATCATCCAGTCTTTCAAAAAAATTCGTCGAACGTACTCCTTCGATTCAACGAACCAGCCTAGATCGATCCTAGCCCATCTATCGAGAGAGTCTGCGACATCTCTGCTCGTCTTTCGAATTCAAACCCCGAAACCACTATGGCGTTTCTCTACCCCTATCTTCTCTACCACTTCTTCTTCTTTTTCTTCTTCTTCTTCTTAGTTGAACACATAGCGCACGTTGCTGCTAAGGCACGAGAATTGAACGATTTCGTTTCTATTCGCCCGACAAACGAATCGACGCTTTATCCCCCACGCGGATAAATTCGTTATGGAGCCGGGTGAGTGCGAGACGCGACGAGAGAGCGAGAAAAACTCGTTCCATTGTGTTTTCGCGCGAGGGACGCCGCCAAAGAGAATGGAGGAGCGTGTCGCGACGACGCGTTCATTCATTTTTCATGCTATTCGGCCTTCGAAGATGAAAACGTTGGCTGAGCGACCGTACAAGCGGCCTTGTTTCTCGAAACATCTGTCGCCTCACGCTCATCCCTTTTCTCTTTTTTTTTTTTCGATGTTGACCAACCCCCTTGCACCACCGAATATTCTTCTATATATATATTCTCCTCTTAATTCAATGCATGCGTCCGATTCGCGCGCTCCTGGTACGATTTCAATCCGTATTTATATTCCAGTCCCAATATAAATCCGGGGTTCGACAAACGTCTTCTTCACGGTGTCTGCCGACGGCTAGTTTCGTATTCCTGGCCGACGACGAACCGTTCGGGGGCGTCGTTCGAGACCATACACACCGAATCCGATCGCGACTACGTGCCCGTACCCCATCGGAATCTGTCTGCCGGCTAGAAGCCTCGGGTCGAGGACGATGATCCCGTTTACCGTGCGATCTCGCGAGCTCTTGGTCGTAAACGCTGCCATGTAAGAAAAAAAAAAAAAGAAAAAAGAAAGCACGAAAGGACGAAGTCGTACGAGACAGAGAAAGACGTTGTCTGCTACGTCGTGAACTAGCAGGCTGTTACGCATTTTATCGTCGACAACGATGTCGTTGATAATCCATCCGATGCTGCGATCCGATTCCGCTCGTTCGACGAAACATCGAAACGCTGGAAGGTTCTCTGAGTCGTCTCCTCTCTCTAGTTGGTCGCGAGAGCCGGCACGGAGTGTTTCGAGAAAGAAATAACCGAGGCGAGGATATGTCCAAAGCTACGTGAATGCTCAAAAAGAAAAAAAGATTCCTTCACGCGTTCGTCCTATTGTCAACGTGGTTAAAATTGATTTCTAGCAGAAGAACGGAGGCGCGCTAGAAGAGGGAGGGGGGAGTTGAAAAGTACGCGTGAGAACTATCGTTGAAACGAAGCCTACGGCAAAGGCAAGGGTCAGCTGGGAAGATGAAGGAGAGAGCACCTGCTTCTCGAAAAGCACGATAATTCGAGAAATTCGAGTTCGCTAGTTTTTCTGTTTGTTCGCTCGCTGCAGTTCATCCATTTCTTGCTGATTGCTCCCCCTCCCCCTCCTCCTTTCCCCCGAGCTGACACGCCTCGACCGAAACTACCGTGTTCCGCGTTGGGCCGTCGCGTGTGCCCCGATGGAAGCGTCGATCAGAGACGCGGCTCGACGCTCTGCCTTTACTCCATCGCGGCCTCTTGAAGGGCGTGCAGATGAGCGTAAAGCCCGTCCGCCGATATCAAGTCATCGTGAGTGCCCATCTCCGCGACGGTGCCCTTCTCCAGCACGCAGATCACGTCGGCGTTTCTTATCGTGGCCAAACGATGCGCTATAGTGATGCACGTCCTGCCCTCCATCGCCTTGTCCAGCGCCGCTTGCACCACCTGCAACGACAGAAATATTATTCTGTGTTAAACCCTTTGTGACAAAATTTGCTCTGATGGCACTCATAAAATCTTATGTTGAGTCACGCTCGGTATTTTCAAATTGCCAAAAAAAATAAAAAGAAAAAAATAATTGGAAAATAGCTTGGAGTGCAAAGGATAATAGAAACGTCAATGTTAACTTCGTTACTACTATGGTGTGAATGAATTAATACAGTATAGAATTGTATAGTAAAGTACAAAAGTACATAGATTTAATTATGCGTATATATTATTCATCGTACTAAAGGGCTGAAAACAAAGAAAAGATGAATCTTCACGATATGTGACGACTTTTTTGATACAATTGTTCGCTCTCGTTCTGACTAATTGTTTCGAATTATTTTCGTAACATTTTCTACAAAATCGGCGACGATGCCATTTTTTTTATTTCACGACACAAAAAAAAAAAAAAAATCCATAACCGAAACATCAATCTCAGCGAAGAAAAATTTGAAACTACGTGACCAAGATATTAAACGTTTTGATTATAAATGACCGGCAATTTCTTCCGTTTGCCGATAATCATTATTGACGAGGGGGAACTTTATTTCGGTCGTTTATCGATAAGAGAAACTTAATAGTTATCGATAAGAGAAATTTATTCCGGTTCAACAACGTAAAGTATTGGATTCAGTAATGTAATATTTTGAATTCCACGGAAATAATCCTCCACCAAATCGCGTTAAAAAATTCAAAAAAGAAAACCATCAGAGTTACCATTAGAGTGGCATAAATTGACGAAGAAAAAAAATCCTGAATTTCTCTCATCGATAATTATTATCAGCAACCGAAAGAGAATCTTCGTCACTTAGAAAAGTCACTTTTGCAAGCAATCGGAAATAAATTTCTCGTTCATCTTAAAACTTGCAACCAATTGTTATTTGCAATCGGAATATTTTTAAATAATGAAAAAAAAAAACAATCGTTATCCCTATTCTGATTTTTTTCCATTCTGATATATCATAACAAGTTATAATTCCTGGTTTCTCACCGAACGACAAAAGATGAATTTCCAACGAATATACAAATGTATATAAATGTACATACACGTTGTCTCTGAAAATCGAAATGGATAACAGATAACAAAAGAACACGGTGAGGCAAGCAACGCGTATAATGGAACACGATTCGTCTATTTTCCCTCGTGGAGAATGGCACGACAAAGAGGAAAACCCGGTAGCCTGTAAGCAGCCGTGAAACAATAATTGCCGTGAAATTCGTTCGGCACGGACGAGCCACTTTCTCCCCGCAGGGACAACAATTGAACACCCTCTCGCCGGCTCGGGGTATTTCCGATTGTTACCATAGATAATACTATTGCGTTCTGCCCGATTGTTGTCGATTTCGAGAGCACCGCCATGTTACCACCGCCGCTAGAATAATCGATCTTCCTGACCGGGGAAATTAAGCGTCGAGCTGTAGATAATCGTTCCGAGGGAAATCTTTCTGCATCACTCGCGTTTCACGGGTGTATCGACCGTGAAAAATATCACAAAACGACGGACACCAACAATACATCTTGGCTATAATGTATCGGAACGCGACGCACGTAAAATATAAAAATACGAAATACCAAGAGTAGGAGAACTCGTCACGGCATTCGATCCACGGAGAAAATATCCGCATAGATGTCCCTTTCTTTTTTTTCTTTTCTCACGTTTATAAAAAGAAGAAGCGAAATGGATAACATGACGCCGAATGCAAATTCCATTCCACTTTTCTCTAGTCCTCCTTCTGCGTCCGTGCACGTGTAATGGAAGGTGCCTTTTTTTTTTTTTTAAACTACGAACAGCTTCAACACGGAGTGAGAGAGCTCTGGAGATGTAATATGTCGCGTAACGAGACACGATAGCCGGGGCAACGTTTCAATCGTTGACGCCAGCCGCAAACGCGTAAATTTTAATTTCCCAAAAAGAAAAAGAAAAAAGAGAAATAAAAAGTAAAAATTAGCATGTGAAGTATGTCCGTTCCATTACGCGATGCAACACGAGAGAAAATTACACGACACGGGCGTGTTTCTCCTCGACTTTGGTTCACGTTCTTTCCTTTTAGTCTTTCATTCTCTCTCTCTCCCTCCCTATTTTTCTCTTTTTGCTGGAATTGTTCATTGAAATCTATCAGGATCCATTAATATTCATCAGACCGCTGTCGGTTTACGTTGCCGAAGCTCCGCTGTTATTCACATTCGCGGCAACAAAATAGTTCGCCGTGCCTTTGACGAGTAGACGCCGCTCGTTACATCGCGAAAACGCACGGCTGGCGTAAACGAGAGAGAATTTTCGCGCGGAGAGAAGCGGTGCCGCGCGTGTAACGTGTATTAAGAGATGCTTTTGGACATCGTGTTGCGAGATAAACCCTCGCCGCTAATACAAAGTATCCGCCTTGTACTTGTATCATGGTTAATGCAATAATATTTATGCGACCTACTTATATGCGGCAACGCAGCGCAAGGAATCCTGGAGTAATTAGTCGCCCCCGGGGCGGTGCATAAATTCAACCGAAATCATCTCTGAATTTCCAGCACGAATTCTCTTAGAGTTCCTCTCCAGCAAGTTGTTGCCCAACCAACAATAGTTTTAAGCATCGGCCATCGATATCCAACTGCTTTCACGTCTTATCTTCCATCCTGCCTCTGACTAACGAATCTCGATTTTTCTTTATTGGTCACTGATGTTCCATCACTTCACAATTTTCCATTTTTTACCAATTAAATTATTCAAATAGTCATTTTTTTTTTTTTTTTTTTTTTGGAAAAGTCATCGGGTTTTGTCTGTCAGTCTCATCCGTATCGAGTTTCCGTATCTTGTGCAATAGTGTGACTGTTACGATGAAAAACGAACTAAACGAGATATCAACTGAACACAAAGCTATGAAGATGCGTGTGACGTTTCGAGAAGGAAGATTTTCAAATGCTTTTTATTCGTGAAGGGAGAATTGTACGATCGTTTTGAATTTTTAGAGGCTTGAATGTCTTCAATAGCATGGATTTAGAGACAAATTATACTACTCGTTTCAAGCTCTATCAAATGTAGAAACATTAAATACAGAGTGTGGCCGGATGTGGAAAATAAGTGGAAAGTTTAGAACGATGTTGTTCCATTTGAAGCTTCGTTTTGGAGAAAATAGAACACAGGGAAATGGAATTTTCAATTGGCTGCGAACACACAATTAGCAGAAAGTTATTCCACATGTGAAAATAAGTCGAAAATACGATAGAACTGTTTCGTTTAGGATCTCGTTTCCGAGAAAATCGTATTTAAACGTATTTGCAGCCAATACTCATATTGAATTCCCCCCGAAAATGAGCCTTTCAATAAGAAACCTGTATTCTAGATTTTCTGGAGTAATTTCTCGGCTAATTTCTCCAGCTCGCGTTTTAATATTTAACATTTATTTGACGCGTTGTCCGCGCCAGTAAATTTACGTTCCATTCTCGCGAGAAGAAAGAATCTTTAACACTTCAAAAACTGT